CAGGCAAGCGGGGCCAGAGCACACACATCTGGACTTGCCTCCATTCCTCCCCATCCCACATGGCCAGATGTTTGTGGGGTCACCCCCATCTTTTTGCCACTGCTAAGGTGTCCAGCCTTCTCCTCAGAGCCCGTGGTTTCTTCCATCACAATCCCACAACCCACTGGAGACCCTCCCCCACTGAGCTTCCAGGGTCCCACACTGACCATGGTAACCCCCACCACCAAGGGGGTGACAAAGAAGATGGGGGCAGGGGCCCAGCCGTGGACCAGTCCATGGAAGGAGTAGAAGAGGTCAGCCCAGGAGATGCACCACAGCAGGACACCCAAGACCTAAGAACAGGGCACAAGTTGGAGTGTCCATCCCCAGAGGCAGGGACAATCACTTCTTGCTCCTGAAGCTAGACCTGCCTGGGCCTGGCCCTGAGGGCTGGGATGCGCACTGGCTGGAAGCTTCTCCAGGGAAGAAGAGCCTTGATGGACAATCTGCTTGCACCTCCCCCAGCAGGGAATGTCTCAGTTGCTGCAGACCCTCCTGGCAAGCTGCCATGGCCCCAGCACCAGGTGGTGAGGCTGGGAAATCCTGTCCAGCTGCTGAGGGCGGGGGAAGGGACTCATTAAAAAAGGAGCCCCATGCCCTGGCCAGTTTGGCTCAGCGGTTGAGCGTCGGCCTGTGGACCAGAGAGACCCCAGTTCGGTTCCTGCTAGGGGCACGTACCACCAAAAGAAAAAAAAAAGAGCCCCTTGCCCTGGCTGGTTTGGCTCAGCAGTTAGTGTCGGCCCTTGGACCAATGAGTCACAGGTTCAGTTCCAGTCAAGGGCACGTACCTCGGTTGAAGTTCGTCCCTGGCCCTGGTCGGGGTTGTGTGGGAGGCAACCAGTCAATGTGTCCCTCTCACATCGATGCTTCTCTCTCTCTCTCTTACCCCCTCCCCCCACTCTATCTGAAGATAAATACAAAAACATCCTTGGATGAGCATTAAAAAAAACGAAACAAAAAAACCCTTCCCCAGGTCCCAGCCCCACCCACAGGAGAGCCCCAAGCCCCTGACCGTCTTGAGCCTGGAGAGGTGGGAGAGGACGATGTAGCCTTGGTGGTGGTACCGCAGGTAGAACATGTAGCAGGGCAGGGCGGCCCACAGGTAGATGCAGGGGACCCAGGCCAGCAGGGAGTTCTGGAAGCAGGGAGTGAGGTCCGGGTTGTCTGTGTGCACGGACAGATTGGAGTCCTGGGGACAAAGGGAACAATTCAGTGCTGTGGCCGCCTTCTGCACAATTGGGCTCTCCCTCAAGGACGGTGGCTGGACCAATGAGACACTTCATGTGCGACGGGGTCAGAAGGTACGAGAAGATGAGAGGGTAAGTGTGCAAAACAGCATGTGTTGTTCCAACTGTGAGCTCTCCTAGGAGGCCACGGTTGTCCCCATTTCCTCATATTCTCTCTAACTGCGGTATAATTTAAGTACAATAAACTGCACCCATTTAAAGTGCACAATCCTAGCTGTGCATACCTGCAGAACCACTGCCACAGTGAAGATGGAGAATATTTCCATCATCCCACCAGTTCCCTTGTGCCCCTTTACAGCCTTCCCACCTGGCAACCACTGATCTGCTCTCTGGCATTCTAGAGATCTACTTTTTTTAAAATTAACTTTTTATTTTATCAGAACCATAGATGCACATGGTTGAAGAGCCCACGTCCTCTCTAAGCCTTTTCCAAGAAGAAACAGAGCGCTTCCCTGAGATTTCCTGCCCCTCCTTTAAAATGGGAGCGGCCATCCCCAGCCCATCCACCTCCTCGCTGGGTGGGTGTAAGCTCAGCGGAGCAAAGGGTGTGGAGAGAGCCCTGTAAATTGCCAAGCCTAGGGTGACGAATCATCGCCGTTCGTGTGGGACTGTTCTGGTTCTCGCACCAAAAGCCTGGTGCCCTGGGAACCAGCGAGTCGGGACATGAGCCTCCTCTTGTCTTTGCCTATAACTCCACCGAAGAACATTTTGGAAAGAGAGAGGGGAACACATCCAAACACATATTTGACTGAAATTGTTTCCTCCGAGACCATCAAGCAAATAATCTTTTTTTCCTTTTTGCAAAGTATGAGACATTCTTTACAGAAAGCTCAGAAAATAGAAACAATTAAAAAAAAAAAATCCACAATTCCATCCACTTAAGAGACAACTGTTGACAACTGTTAACCCCCTACCTTCTAATTCAAAATTTAACTAATTATCATTTTAATTTTTTCAAAGTTATACATGCACATAATTTAAAAAGTCAAACTGTGAGAAAGAAAATGGTACCCTGCCTCATTATTCCCCACCCTTAATTCCATTTTCCAGGGGTAAATATGTTCAAATATGCTAACTTTCTTCTGTTATCTACTTCCATATTTTAAGCAATTTGCTTTTACTATCACTATTTGATTTGCCACTATTTGATAATCACCATTCTCTTTTGTTTTGGAAGGTGAGGCTGTACCTCTCTCATATCCTGTTCTCTTGAGCTTCTTCATCCTTCCAGTGTAGAAACATCACAGAATTTTTGTTAAGTAAATATTCAAAGTTTGCACTTATTGACCATGTATGTTCACTGCAAACTTCAGTACAACTGGCTCTACCTCTTTCAAGTGGTGTGGCCTTGGGCAAGATGCTGAATCTTCACTTCTCTGGGCCTTGGCTTGTTCAAGGGTAACAGTGGGAGGACCCTCAGCCATCCTGCCCGAGCAGGCCCTCTCCTCTCTCCAAACTGTTTCAGTGGGGTTCTGGTCTCCACCCGGTCAAGGCCAAAGGGCCCAGATCCTGTCCACACTCTTCCGGTCTTCCCCTTCCTTCTTGGTCTTTCCTTCTAAGTCTCTTTGCTGGCTTTCCATCTTGGCATCAGGGGCCCAGTGCTTGGTCCTCTCCTCTTCTCCATTTGCTCTCAGCCCCTTGGTGATCTCTAGTCTCATCTAAACACTAATCACTCTCAAGTTTATCATTTCCACCCTACTACTCTCCAAGTCCCCAACTCTACATTCAGTTGCCTACTGGACATCTCCATTTTACGCACCCTATAGGAGCCGACAAGGACCTGTGCAGTGTCCCTTTCCACCAACCCGTGACCTCTCTCACTGCCTCTCCTGCATCACTCCAGCCAATGACCTGTTCCTGAACACACCGGGCTCAGCGCCTTTGCACTCGCTGTCCTCTCTGCCTTGGACTCTCTTGCCTCAGACATCCTTAAGTCTTTGTTTCTCAATGGCGTCTACCCTGACGGGCCCTGTTTAAAACTGCTGCCTGTACCCCACCCCGGCATTCCCAATCCACCTCTTTACCCTCCTCTGCTTTTTCTTTTCTCTACAGTACCTCTCGCCTTCCAACATGTTACATAATTTACTAGTTTACTGTGTTTTCTCTCATCTCATCCTGCTGGTATGTAAGTTCCCTGAAGGAAAGAATCTTTTATTTACTGATGTATCTTAGGTACCTTGCACATAGTAGGTGCTCAACAAAAAATTTGCTTAAAAATTTGCTTTAAACATTTGTTGAATAAATTAATGAACAAGAGGATAATCTACCCCCTCCCTCTAAACCCTCAGTGGCTTCCTATTGCCTAGAAGACAAAGTCTAAGCATGTTACTAGGGCATTCGAGGACTTCAACTGGCCTTTAATTATCTATCTGTCTGTCTGTCTATCTACCTACCTACCTACCTATCTACCTGACCTATTTAACTATCTATATGCTTGAGTTCTCCCATCTTAAGAAAATATTTCAGCCCTGGCCGGTTTGGCTCAGCGGTTAGAGCATTGGCCTGCGGTCCGGAGAGACCCGGGTTCGGTTCCCGCTAAGGGCACGTACCTCAGTTGCAGTTTGTCCCCGGCCCTGGTTGGGTCGTGCGGGTGGCAGCCACTCGATGTGTCCCTTTCACGTCGATGTTTCTCTCTCTCTCTCCCTCCCACTCTATCTGAACAAAATATCGAAAAAAAACAAAAAAGAAAATATTTCATGGAGTGATCCGCACACCCTGCCTCCCTTTCCTCGGCCTACTTTCACTGTTTAATCCCATCCAGGCAGCCCTCTGCCCTCCTATGCCCTTGCCCCTGCAGCAAGATGACCCTGAAGTGCAGCTTTGTGCCCTTGGCCTCAGGCCCACAAACCTGTGGAGGTTCCTGCTGCTCATGGAGCCAAGTCCAAGCGCCACCTCCCTTCCCGCGGCTCCCTCTCCTACTGCCCATCACTTCCCTCTACCTCTCTCTGAGATGCCCACTCCTACCCTTTGTCCAGCCAGATCCCTCTTTTTCCAACTTGTCAAAATCCCAACAAGTACAGAGAAGGGTGATGGCCCCACTGAGCATCCACCTCTTCTGCCTTGAGCACCCTTCCTCCTCCAAGGTCAGCGCCTATCAAGGGAGCCATTTTGGAGTGTTAGTCTTCCACCTGACAGCACTTTGGTCAGGCAGTAGACTGGGCCATCTGGGGCAGACCTGTCCCTTGCCTTTGGGGACCATGCAGTGCAGGGACACACTGCTTTGGGGCATTTCACTCAAGCTCCAGTGGGCAGAGATTGTGCATCTTGTATAGAGGCCTGTATTCAGTAGTCGCTCAAGCAATGTGAGCTAAGGACCCACAAACTCCTGCTGAGCCCCCAGCATGCTGGCCCATGGCTAGGTACTGGGTCACAGAGATAGACACCCCACTAGGCCTGGTCAGGCACTGCAGGAGAACAGGGGGCAGGCATAGCTAATCCAGGCATGGTCCATGGCTTTGTTTTGTTTTTTAATTTTTAAAGAGGGAGCATAGGGGGTGGGAAGAGAGAGAGACATCGATGTAAGAGAGAAACGTTGACTGGCCACCTCTAGTATGCATCCCAACTGGAAGTGGAACCCAAAAGCTAGGTATAGGCCCCAACCAGGAATCGAACCCATGACCTTCCAGTGCATGGGATGATACTCCAACCAACTGAGCCACATGGGCCAGGGATGGCCCTTTTAATTTATTTTTTTCTTTATAAAAGCATTTCCTGATCCTTTTGTAGTTCATAAGAGTGATGATTGTGTGTTCACGTTCTAGTGTGAGATGTGTCTTCCACAAACCTTGCTACCCTCACCTGGCCGGTGTGGCTGAGTGGTTGAGCATCGACCCATGCACCAAGAGGTCGCAGGTTCGATTCCTGGTCAGGGCACGTGCCCATGTTGTGGGCCAAATCTCCAGTGGGGGGCATGCAGGAGGCAGCCAATGGATGTTCTCTCTCATCAATGTTTCTATCTCTGTCCTTTCCTCTCTCTCTAAAAAACAATAAAGAAAAAATATTTAAAAAAGGAAAAACAAATGTACACTCAAAATTAAAAAACAAAAAACAAAACAAATTTCTCGTCTGGCTTGTGTGGCCCAGTGGATTGAGCATCATCTCATCCCGTGGACTGAGAGGTCCCAGTTTGAATCTGGTCAGGGCACATGCTCTATCCCCAGGAGGGGGCATGCAGGAGGCAGCAGATGGATGGATGTTTCTCACACCAATATTTCTCTCTTTCTAAAAAAAACCAAAAACATTTCTTAAACAAGTATAATAAATATACTTACAGAAAAGCACACACATCTGAAGTATACATGAAGTGAATTTTTACATAGCAAACATCTGTGTAACCCGAATCTAGGAACAGAACATAGTGGCACTCAGTAGCCCCCTGTGCCCCGTCCCAGCCACCACTCCCCCCAGGAAAATGCCACTCTGCCTCCTTTTGCCAATTTGGGATCTTCCTGTAAAGGAAATTGTATAGCATGTACCTTTCATGTCTGGCTTCTTTCATTTAACAGTGTGCTCGGGGGTGTCATCCTTGGGGCTGAGTGTGAGTGGGGACACCCCGTGTTCATTTCTGCACGGTGGTCTGTTGTGTGAATGGGCCCATGTATGCATCCGTTCTGTCAATGGGCAGCCCCCACTGCTTTCATCTCAGCGAGCCCACTGATTCCATCCACTTAGTTGCCACCCAGGACCCTGTCCAGGCCACCCTAACTCGGACTGTCAGGACTCCCCGCCTGCAGTGCGTGTCCCACCTCTCTGCACCCAGCCTGAGCTTCACCTCCTTCAGGAAGGCTTTCCGGGGCACGCCAGCCTCTGGAGGGGCTTTTCCTTGCTGCGTCCTGTAGGGCCTTGTACACGACTATTACCTGAGAGTGGTAAGGCCCTTTGTTTCATCAGCCCTTTGTTTTCTTACAGCACTTCTGCGGTCATTAACCGGCTGGCTGATTCAGAACGACTTCCAGAAGTAGAGAGGAGGAACAGTATCGGGCCCAGCTTGCAAAAGAGAAGGCAGGCTTCACCTGCTCTGGCAACGGGTCTGAGGACACCAGGCAGTAGGGATCTGTGACAGGCACCCAGGCCTTGTGATTTCAAACGGGTTTCTCCTGGAACCACGGCCCCGTACCTGTATCTGTGAATACATCCTGTCTCTACAGAAATGTGAGCCCTTGAGACCAGACCCCAGGCCCTGCTCCTCTCCTCTCCTGCCCCGGGACCGGGGGTGCAGGAGGTGCCCAGAGATGGTCTATGCATTGATTGACAAGGGAACCAGAGTTCAAGGGCATGGCAGGGAGTCCCTGCATGGGTGTGCAAGTCAGTGGCATGGCTCTTTGAGGCAGGCGGGGAGTGGCCACAAGAAGAACCAAACCCTGATGCAGAGGACCCCATGTGGGTCGTCACTTCTGAACCATGGAATCGTGGGCAAGCTCCTTCATCTCCCTGAACCGCAGCGTCCACGTGTGAGTCATGATGGGAGTGATGACAGCTCCCACAGCAGGGTATCTCAACTCAAACAGGGCAATGCTTGGGAAAGCAGCTGATGGAGCAAGAGGCCCTGGGACTTTGTTTTGATTACACAGCCAACCTGCATTGAGGCAACAATCAAGAGATCTCGGGGATGTGAAGACTCAGGTGGCTGCTGTGATCCACGGGGAGGTCCAACCTGGGCTCCTTTCCTTCAGATAAGCATGTCTCAAGTGGGCAGAGCCCTCTCCAGAAGGCAGCGGGTACCCATCCATGCCTATGTCCCTGGACTATTTACCCCCGAGCTAGGATGTCGATGGGACACGTTCTGTACAACAAGTCCAGAACCGAACCCCCACCCAGCCCCTCCTCTTCAGCCTGCCCACCTTGATGGACGGTAACTCTTTCCTTCTCCCAAGCCAGAATCCTTGAAGTCATCCTTAATTCTTCTTTTTCTCTCACACCCCACATCCAACCCTTCAGCAAATCCTGATCACTCTACCTTCAAATGATCAGAGTGAACTAGATGAGAGTGCTATATTACTATATTTGGTTTGAGCATTGTCCCAAGCATCAAGAGGTCACCAGTTTGATTTGGGGGCCAGGGCACATGCCTGGGTTTTGGGCTCAGTCCCCAGTACAGGGCAGCCGATCGATGTTTCTCATTGATGTTTCTCTCTCTCTCTCTCTCTCTGTCTCCCTTCCTCTCTATCTAAAAATCAATAAAAACATTTCTTTTTAAAAAGGCTACTCTATCGGGTTCTTCTTGATGTATCCAGAACGCTGCCGATTCTCTCCACCCCACTCTCCGCCTGGCCCACGGCCCCGGTGCCCACTCTGGGCTTCCTGCTCCCACCCCGCGCTGGCGCCGGCTGGAGGCCCCAGCACAGCAGCCAGAGGCAGGGCTTCCTGCGGTCTAAGCCCCACCACGCTACCATATGCCGCTCCGGCCCCGCACTGCTGAGACTCCCCATTTCACTCAGAGTAAAAGCCAAAGTCCCCACGTGGCCCAAGACCCTCATTCTCCATCTCTCCCACCCCTTTGACCTTCTGTCCCCCACTTCCCTCAGTCACTCCCCAGCTGTCACCCACACGGTCCCACAGCAACAGGTTCCTGAATTATGCAATTAAACAGCTGGATGGGTCTGATAAGGGCCCCTTCCTGGGCACGGAGGCTGGAATCCCTACAGACCCAGGCAGGGGACAGGTGGGAGTGAGGACCCAAGAGCCCTTTGCCCCAGATGGCCACAGCTCTGTCAGGGACTTCCCAGTCCCGTCCCCCAGACTTGTTGACAGCCTCTATCATCAGAAGAGTAATTACTTCCTTAATCCTGTGGGGTGGGGAGAATGGGGAGAAGGGGTGGAGGATTCATTTATCTCCGCAGAAATGGAGGTGCAGAAAGGGCAAGGATTGGCTCTGATCCCACTCACTGACCTGCCGGGGCTGAAACCGCAGCCTGTGGAAGGGCCTGGGGCGCGGGGGGGGGGGGGGGGTGCTGTTCGCCGGCCGATGGCTGTCAGCCCAGCTGGCCAGCCGCTTCTCAGAGGAGGACTGCCAGCCCACAGCTTCGGTCATCTGAGCAGCGCGCTCCAGGGTTATCATTTAACGTCCCCACAGCCAAGAGCCGTGGCTGGACAGGGACTGGCTCTTGGGCTGACATGGGCTGACACCGGGACGCGAACCCGACAGTCTAACTCCAGAGTCCCCACCCCGAACCACGGGGTTCTAGGGTACTTTATGCCCCGTAGGGCTCCAGCAGGACCTCTACCTCGGGGACAGGAAACGTGTGTCAGATCACCTGAGACATGAAAAATCTCCTTTCAGCCTCGCGGCCACCCCCACCCCCAGTCACCCCTTGGCTGAGGTTCTTCTTACAGAGCTGAGGGGAAGGGCTGCCATCACAGTAACAGACTAGCTGGGGTTCTGGGAGCTGAGCTGTTGGACTAAAAACCTGAATATCCAGTTCGAAGGAGGAATCCAATCAAGGGTTAAGCCTCAATAAGCCCTCTCCCCAGTACCGCTCCCTGTGGGAACCAGCCCCAGGTGGGGGAGGGGAGCTAGCAATGGCACACCCAGGTCTCAACTCTTCTCAGGCATCCGGCTCCACCTGTTGACCCTGAGACAGTCCCACCACGGTGGGGTGGATACAGCTCAGGCACTATGACCCTGCCTTCTGGTGGGTCAGCTGGCAGGTCCCACTGGGACCACCCTCCCTGGGGGCTGGCTTGGTCCTCCAAGACTATTTCTCTGTCTTGGGGCCAGCAGCCGGGCTTGGCACAGTTCCCTCCCAAATGCTCCTTCCCTGACTCACTTCCTTCTCTAAGTGAGGGAGCAGCCAGGTGGGAAGAAGCCAGCCTCGGGCCTGTAGGGACCAAATCCTCCCACCAGAAGCCCAGAAGTTAAAGCCATCCAGCACCAACTTTGCTGTCCCCAGCTGGGATGGTCCCTGAGGGGACCAAAGCCCGAGGGAGGAGCTTTGGTGCCCACCTGACTACCTTAGGGGCCCTGCTACCTCCAGTTTCCCACAGCTTCACATGTCACCATCTTTTTTTTTTTTGGTGGTATGTGCCCCTAGCGGGAACCGAACCTGGGACTCTCTGGTCCTCAGGCCGACGCTCAACCCCTGAGCCAAACTGGCCAAGGCCCATCTTTATTTGAGAGTTAAAGTACATTGAAATCCATCTGATCCATTACGCATAAGTTTCGGCAGCCGCCCCCTCAGACTAGGAAGCAACCCAGGAGGAAAAGCCTGGGAAGGTGGTGATACCCAGGAGCCTGAAAGTTCAGAGGGCCCTCATCATGGCCTTGCCACCTCCACCTCTTCCCCAAGACTGGGGCTCAGACTCCCAGAATCAGCACTGAGCAACTAGACCTGAAGGGGGCCCCGGAGCCCACCTAAATTCAGCTGGAGCTCAGAGACAGTGATTTGCCCAGAGGCACACAGCTAGAGACAAGATGGGACTATTTGGAACAGAGCAGGAGACACAGGGAGCTGAGCCTCTGAGGCACTAGGGCTTTGCCACTCCCTGGGATGAGTAAACAGTCAAGGGAACGGTGCCGGTGCTGGCACCTGCCTGGTGAGAGACCCATAGGCCTCTCTGCCAAGAATTTGCACCAGGTAAACTCCATGTCTAAAGTGGGGAGAGCGCCAGGGAGAGAAAGGTCTGGAAAGCTCAGGGGAAGAACCAGCCAACTGCTCACTGGCCACATCTTCCCTCTTCCTAGATGGTCACCACATTTCAGGGTGGGACCCAACTCTTTCCTTGACTTGAAGCCTCTCTCCACCATCCCCACCAAGTGGTTACTGATCATGTGCGTGCATACTCCCAGTGATGCGGGAGCTCACTACGCCTCAGGC